GTGTTCTTAGCACAAGCAAATCTCTATCAACCACGCGAATTGTATATGATTTCACGAGCATTGTGGGTAGCAATGTGTTTGGGGTGATTTTATGTAAATCTTAAATTGTGTATTACTTGCAGAGATGGAAGTAAGAAGCAGGCCCCGACCTTTGTTGCAATGCTTTGATTTGTGTATGTACACATTTTAGAACTATTTTTGTATGAAGTGCCGTCTTAATTGATGGAAAGATTAAATAAGAAACAACTTTTAACGGTGGATCTCTAGGCTCGCGTATCGATGAAGAACGTAGCAAAGTGCGATAAGTAGTGCGAATTGCGAAATTCAGTGAATCATCGAATCTTTGAACGCAGATTGCGCTGTCAGGATTTCTTGGCAGCATGTCTGTCTGAGTGTCGTTTTCAAACAACATCATATTTGATTTTGATCGATCAGATATGGCTACTGAGGTTACTCAATCGTTTATTCGACTGCGTACCTTGAAATAGAGTATTTCCAATTCGACTTGATTTGTGATTGGTATAGATCAGGCCATGCCGAGTTTCTACTCGTATCGTCTGTCTATAGTTGAGAGCAAATTAGTATGAATGTAGAGGAAATGATGGTAGTTTATTGAAATTAGTCAATTTTAGACCTCAGATCAGGCAAGACTACCCGCTGAACTTAAGCATATCAATAAGCGGAGGAAAAGAAACTAACAAGGATTCCCTTAGTAACGGCGAGCGAAGTGGGAATAGCTCAAGCTTAAAATCTCCGAAGCTTGCTTCGGCGAATTGTAGTCTGTGGAAGTGTTATCTGGCAGTATGTTTTGGGTCTAAGTTGCCTGGAACGGCACGTCATAGAGGGTGATAACCCCGTCTTTGACTTACAACAGCTGTCAATGAGGCGCTTTCCGAGAGTCGGGCTGTTTGAGAGTGCAGCCTAAATTGGGTGGTAGACTCCATCTAAAGCTAAATATAGACGCGAGACCGATAGCGAACAAGTACCGTGAGGGAAAGATGAAAAGAACTTTGAAAAGAGAGTTAAATAGTACGTGAAACCGTTAAAAGGGAAACGCATGTAGCTAGCAATGTATTATTGACATTCAGCTGATAAGTTAGTTGATGTGGTGGTATGTTGATCTCACGACTTCATCTATCATTGTCGATTGAATTATCGGCGCACTTGTGATAATGCGCT